AAGGAATAACATAGGCCGTAGGCCTTCTGTCCTTACTACACAAATCTGAATCTATCCGGAAAACTAAAAAAACACAAGTGATGAGCAGTATTAGCTAGGTATTCCTACCAAACGTAATAGATGACGCAAATCGGCACGGATAGTCACCCAAAATAAGGTAGACATAATGATTTTTTAATGAGTTGTTAAATATTTGTATGTTTCTATTATTCTGCAGAACGTTTACCTTCAAATTACTATTCACTATACGCATTTTTGGCTGGCCTCACAATGACTTATCGACATAATGGCAAGTTTTTTTTTAGCAAGGATTTTTACATAGCCTTTCGTACAGAATGAACATTTCACATGGCACTCTACGCTCTGGAAGCGTGCATTCCTAGATTGTTATTACATGAGGCGTTTGCCTACTATTAGTAAGCAAACAGCTTAGATATTGTCTGCTACGTCAAAACTTAAGTGTTTTTTCAGTTTGTAGAACAGTCTTGAAGAAGGTTGAACTTCTACATGATAAACACGCCAACAGTGCATAAAATATTCGTGAATCATGTACATGTATTTTGTAATATTTTGATATTCAGTCAAATTTATAGCACATCAGTCTTTTGACTATAGCGATACTGATATGTACAGCTTTTGTTATTACAAGTATTGACAAGATAGTACAACATCGATAACGTGAATAAACTGTAATTACGTCTTCAAAGAATCCTTTATTGAATTCCGTGTAGGAGACAATTGCAATTGCCCACATTACAACTTGATCGACAGAATTCTATTACCATATAGAACTGAATGAATATGACATCATTTACTATCCATGGACCAATGAACGAGAAAAAGGATATCTAAATGCCTCGTTATGGAAGAGGTTCATACTTCTATCAGGATACAATGTCAAGTGAATTTTTTCTAAAAATCATATCTCTATTGAATAAGCAGATACCTTTTCACGAAATCGCTCGAAGAGGAAGTTATATGAAATGAAACGGAAAAGGAATATCAAAATAAGACCATAATTGTGCAACTTTCAGCGGTATATAGATTGGATCAAAGCATGTTTCTTGCAGCATTGTGTTGAGGCACACTGACTTGCTATTTTCTAACCGATTCGTGCAAGTTGATACAAGGAGACGACTCTAAAATCTTATGTAAGAATTATAAATATATTGACAATTTCATTGGTGTGATTTCTACTTTTATCCAACCTTGTTAGTTGAAATTTTATGCTCACTAGTTGACTAACGCAGAATACTGTATACAACTACTGCACTCGAACGTATAGAACCCCAGTCACAAATCAGAAAACAGAAGTAAGCTGAGGAAGTGTTTGTTGGATAAGCATTAAAATGTACAGAAAACCATGGGTATTTATAGATATTATTATTATTATCCGGCCAATTTACAAAGGGGCATTCTACGTTGCAGACCAAATGTAGCATGTCACGTTGATATTCTAAGAAGCTCCATCACGTTCTAATTGGTTGGAAACTCTTTGGCTACTTTTGAGCCTATGGATACTCTGTCGTGCTTCTCGCAAGCCACCCTAACAGCGATTTTATCTGTTTGATCAGATGGAAAGAAGTAGGAGGGGGATTCCGACATGTAATCCACTGCAATGAGCATATGTTGTTGATGTATCTGGTACTAAATCTTGTGAAAAATTCAGCTATCTTGAGTGTGCATCATTCTTTTATGTCTGTGGATTTGATTTGTGCGTCCGATACATGTCCCAAATGTTCCTTGGACTCTGTGAAAAAAAGTTTTTATAATCTTCATACGAATTTCCACGGTTCCCATCGATTCTTTCCGAGGCAGAACTTAACGAACACGCTATCTTCAGTGTTGAAACTTCGGACATTAAAACTTGGTGTGTGCCAACATGGTGCTGAAAATAGTTCTAGTAGGTCTTACAAGCATGGCTCCAGCAGGGGAATTTCCATCTTAGACAATTGGGTTCGGAGTGCTTCTGTAAGCCGTCAAAAATTTTATCACAACCTATTTAGTTTTACTCTCATTCCCCCTTTCAGTAATGCTACTTCAAGATTATCTACCAAACGTTCTGATGATAGGGCAAAGAACGTAGATGTGTTATGCTACAAAAATAATTAAATGAGTCCGCAATGAATTGTGAGCCATTATCAGTCACTAAGGTTTCTGGGACTCTAAAACAGCTACGCGAAATAAGCGATTTGTGGGTTGTTTCTGAGACTGTACAATTAGGCATACTATATACTTCCGGCTACTTCGTAAATGCATCCTTAATAATTAGAAATATTTTACCGTGAATCGGACCGGCAAAATCTTCCAGGCTTTTGAAGACGTGTGCCAAAGCCATGGTTCGCATTTCGAAGGGCTTTTAGCAACTTGAAGACATGATGGACAGTCACACCATTTGTCTTCGATGTCTTTTTCCACTGAGGACCAATAAGTATAACTAAGAGCCAATGACGTTATCTAATTGATTCCAAGGTGACCACTGAGAAATGGATTGATAATGTTATGATGCAATAATTCTGGAATAACAGTTTGATCACCGAACGTAATACATGAGTCGACAAACATTAGTGAGTCACGTCGACGAAAATATTGAGGACGTTTTCCTCCAAGACGGTTGTTTGGCCGTTCGGTAGAAAGATAACGCCTAACTCTACCCAATGTCTTATCAGTTTCAGTGATTTTCTTGATAGCTTCGAAGGTAGCCGGGAGTTCATCGGTTATGTCGTCAAATACACGATGAGCTTCTTTCTCAGCTTTTATATTTGCTACATGTGTTTTCTGGCGTTCTTGACTGGCAACCTGTTAATCTTGATAACGCGTCAGCTTGCCCGGAAGTGATAGTAGATTGACACTTGATCGTGAAATCGCAACCCATAGTTGTAGCCAGTTAGTCATGTGAACAGGAATCTCTTTCTTTCACCCAAATACTGTAAGTAATGGCTTATGGTCTGCTGTCAGGATGAAATGCTGACCAAATATCATCTTGTGAATTCTTATAAGTTTCTGTTCAACCGTGTTCTGATTTGTGGACTTATCTAATTAAGTAGTGTGGAATAATACCGAACAATAGGTGTAAATAGATCAAAATAAGAGAAACCGAGGCAACACCTAAACTAACGTTGTTTCTCAAGTTATCAGGTAACAAATCGGAAATATATAGGTGTTAGGCAACTTTTCACCATTAGATTTCTGAGGCCATTTAAATTCCACTAAATCCGACTCAAATTATCTATCATGTTCCAAGCATTTCTGCCCTGGAATAACAATGACTTGACGTTAGGTAGTTTATCGTAACTCCTCATGTTCAGCCATGACTAAAGTTGACCATTATATAACGTTGATCAGTATGTAGACCCATCATGTTCAACAGCTTGTTCAAAACGTGTCTGTTCTATATTATTACCATTTACACACCTAAATATAACTGGTTGGTGAGATTTTACCCTAGAAGACCGCCACGAGACATGATGGCTGGACCATCAAGTTACAGTGAGCTGAAATATGTGAGACTTGGTTCTGCCTCATTATCTGAATAGAGATGTATTGAACTTCTAGTGTGGTCATATAAATCACAGGGAATATTAATCAATATGTAAATTAGTTACTTAAGTTTACCAAATATTTGTATGACGAAAAATATTGGAGACTGAAATGAATGACCCTTGAATGTTATTCAACGTTGACATCAGTATAGATGTCTCTCACATTCAACAAATTTTCAGCAGAATAGCACTCCGTCGTAAAGTCTCTCTGTCAATGTCACATTATTGCGAATTTACATCAACTTTTTATCAACATTCACACCAAACTTTTGACAGAGAAGTCTGGTAAGCCCGTTTGAATAATTGAGCAATTTAGAGTCGGTAACCCAAGCATATAGGTCTTCATTTCATTATTTACAAGTTTCCACTCCGTATCGACAGAGCCCGCACAAAAATATGGGTTGACGTCTTGCAAATGAATGTTTATAAGTCGAGAATTTCGCCCTCGAAACATATCATAGTAGGACTTTCAACTGATCCCTTCGAAAGAAAGTTTTATATTGACTTTATTTTCATTTGTACTAAGGGAGACCACTATGGGAGTTTTTTTATCTAATTACTCCCATCATTAAAAATTATGAATTATCTTTTCAGATTTCTGCGGGATCACAGATGAAATTACTGTACTCCGTAACCAATAGCCTTCACAAACAGATACGAATTCTTTCAACATTTTTCCGACAGAATGCAGGAAACTAAAAAGAAGCAACATCCGAATTTCAGTCTAAGGTAGGCTTGTGTTTTGTCCGAATGTACGTTGTGTGTTAAGGGAGCTTATAGAGTAGTGCATGTGGTAAACTAAAACGGAGAAAAAGTGAGTCGACTGAGTAGACAAATTGGTTGTAGTTATATTTAATGGTTAAACAAGCTATTAATAATACAGAGATGAGATCTAGGCTAAAAGTTAATGGACTAATATTTCATATGCGCTTTGATCGCATTGATTCATAACACCATTAGCGTACGTAATATCCACAATAACATGTATGAAAACTTATTCTCACTAAAACCACCAGATAAACCTAATACGCCAGGTTCAAATGAAGATAATATTTGAACTTTTTAAGAGAACTCACAACTTTTAAAAAGCGCTTAAGTAATTGGTAAAGAAATTTTTTCTATCCAAATTCTATCATTTGCCCGACGACTGAATGTTACCACAGACATTGATATAATGGAAACTTTCCTCTCCTTCAAAATCACTTTCACTAAGACGGGAATCAAAAGTATGTCCTAATGGTCCACAAAAACAATTTAATTGAATGTTTTGACCATACCATCAACACTAATCCAATGATATTTGTTCATCATTCTTTTTATGAATCATTTTGAACTATGGCTCGACAAACAGAAAATTTTTATCTAAAATTTCTGTTCTTTATCTGCATTAAATCCTCAGACTGCTTATAAGTTTTTCTTTTCCCATAGGTGTTTGAAATGGGATATCAGTAACTTAGCGCTAGTTTCAATCTAGGACCTTGGTCATCTGGAATTTTCGTACGATAACTTAGGATCGGAAATTCTGCGATGGAGCAAACCTGTTATTATAAAATTTTAGGTATTGAGAAGACTGCTTCAGGCGATGAGATAAAGAAGGCGTATCGCCGACTGGCACTTAAATGGCATCCAGACAAGAACCCAGACAAAAAGGAAGAAGCAGAAAAATGCTTTAAACTCATAAGTGAGGCATATGAAGTACTGTCGGATCCCAAGAAGCGTGACATATATGACAGACGCGGCAGGGGTCCTCATGCTGGCGAGGCATTCGTGTTTGAGGATTCTGATCCTTTCGCAATGTTTACGCGGTTCCACTTCCGAGATCCCATGGATATATTCAGAGAAGTTTTTGCTGGCTCTGGACTCGATTCTTTCTTTGGCCCCAGTATTCATGACTTCCATTACGGTCCTCAGTTGGGTCGAACTCACAGGTCCAACTCTCATCGCAACGCTGGGCGACAATCCGGATCTCCTTATCATCATGCCGGACGTTCTAGTCAAGTGCAGAGCTATGATCCTATGCTCGCAAACCCTTTCATGGGTGGACTCTTTGACTCTCCGTTTGGTGGGTCACTGTTTAGTCCTTTGATGGCTTTTACCGATTCTGGGTTTGGAAATCCCCAGGGTTCTTCATCAACCTCCATCTTCAGTAGCTTCGGTGGATCTTCATGTGCGGGTGGTTTCAGGTCAGTTTCAACATCGTCCAAGTACGTAAATGGGAAAATGGTTCGTGTGACAAAAGTGGTAGAGAATGGTACTGAGACCATTACGGAAGAAGTAGATGGTCAAGTAACTAACCGAACTGTCCGTCAATGTGGAAATGGAGCCCTGCAAGCAATGTGATTTATCTTCACACGAAAACATACTTTGTTCGCATAGTAAAACTATATTAATTTTGTATAATCAGTTTCACAGTTATTTGTTGAGGTTGATAAATTAATATTTATGTTGTCTAAATGACTGTTTTAATCCGTCCAATTTACTGTTACGTCTATTGGATACTTTGTTTTTCAACTGCACTTAAGACATACCACATTCGAACCCTCTTATAATACTTATATAAAATAAATTTATCCTACTGATTTTGTTGTTTATTTTCACTTTTCATTTCAAGGTATATTCGTGTGGAATCGCTTAGTTGTGTCGTCGAGTTTCGGTTAGCTAAAATCATGTAAGTTCATAGATTAACTTATCCGCAGCTCAGTATATTAATATTTGGCCGTAGCCCATGTTTCATCTTTTATTAGCCATTAGTGCATCTTATGGGGGAATTTACTAATTCAAAGTTGTCAGACTTCACGATATTTGCGAATATCTAATTTTCCGACTAGATTTAATCAGTATCGTGAGAGTGCGAACTACGTTTTCAATTAAGTCACTGCTGCTGTCACCTGCCAGTCTTTTTTAAAACTCAGTTCTTTAGATACAAAAAGTAATTTACCAATCTCCAAAACAAGTTCATCACCGTACTGACAGTAAAATATGTGACTTATCTGCTGGTCCAGTGAATGAACGGCCTAGGTTCGTCCAACAGGAAGAGTGCTTCGAAGTGATGTTTTAGTGATAAATAACAGTGTAATGGCTGGTAATGTTACTTATCTATATTAGTCAAACTTGATATTAACAAATCCGAAATTTTAACCGTGCAGTTAGTTCCTAGTGGATTTGAATTTTTCCTAAACTCACCCCACCGATGGAGTTGGAGTAATTTTGTGCAACTAATATGTCGCTATCTGGCGCACTTGAATCAGCAACGTGTGTACGCGTTAGTGGTGCGGTATCATTTCCTTTTACATTATTTGTAATAGCAGCAGTGAATATCTTTGTATACTGTATATCAGAGGTATGTTGGCAAGTATTGGGGCTTATATGCGAGCCAGATCTCCGATGAATTAGAACTTCACTACCATATATTTACTAGCTTCTACCGACTTTCGTCATTTATGGCTTAGGTGAGATTTCCGTCTATCAACCAAAGGACGTGTTTACTGCGCAGCAGTCCGTTCCGTCCTACTTTATGGCAGTGAAACATGACCGGTAAGAGTAGAGGATATCCGTAGGTTACTAGTATTTGATCATAGGTGTCTTCGAAATATTGCTCGTATATCCTGGGACCATCGAGTAAGTAACGCAGTTGTTAGGAAACGGGTACTAGGTAAGGATGGCAAATCAATTGATGAAGTAATGAAACTTCATCAGTTGAGATGGCTGGGACACGTTACGTATGCCCAACGACCGACTGCCTCGACGTGCGATGTTCAGTGGTATAGGAGTAGGTTGGAAGAAAGTTAGGGGCGGCCAGACCAAAACATGGCATAAGTCAATGAAGTCACTGACAAGTGGACTGAGTCATGATAGTAGGTGTAGACTACCTAATTGGGGACCGCATGATGGCAACCGATGGTTAGAGACCCTGAATGACATGGCTCAAAATCGTTTGCAATGGCGCAGGTGCATACACTCTTTATGTTCTCCCAAATTTCGATCTCCTTGTCTCTTTTTTTTTCTCTTCCCAAATTTATTTCACTGTATTATACCCCTACCACTACGGGATTTGAATCTACCACTGTATCTCTGTGCTAATGTGGTGTGGCAACTCGAACGGATGTACGAAGTTCTACGTTGTTACTGACTGACTGAATGTAGTTCGTATGTTGTTAGTCCTCAAATGTAGTCACCGATTTCAGACTTCAATGACTGAATTTCGCAACGTCTGTTGATCACAGATGTCTTAGAAATATCGCTCGCATCTGCTGGGATCATTGGGTTAGCAATAGAAAGAATAGACGCAAGATATTAAGGAATGGTGGTAAATCAGTTGAAGTTGTAAATCTTCATCCACTGAGATGGTTGGACCACGTGTTACAAATGCCAGAACACCGATTACCACGACGCACAATACTGACTAGTACTGGAAACGGTTGGAAGTTAGGGGCGACCAAACCAAAACGTGGCATCAATCCTTCAAGTCACTAGATTCTAGTCTGAGTCATGTTGGTAGATGCAAACTATTTGGTTGGGGCCCGCGCGACCATCATAACCAATGGTTGGAGACTCTGGGTGACATGGCTCAGGATCGATCACAATGGCGTAGGTGTATACACTCTATGTCTTCCTTTAAACTATTAGATTGAAATCGCTTCATATCTTTCTTTCTACCAACTAATTCTTTCTTCCTGTACTATATCCTCATATGCACTCTTTCTTTTATATATTACCACCATTTTATTAACTACTTCTATGAATTCGGTGTTAATGAGGTATTGCAATTTGGATCGATGCATATATGTGCCTAGTCCTACGTTGTAGCTGACTGACTGGCAACGTCTGTTTACGTAAAACAGTGTCTGGCAGTTTAGTATTGGTAAAGTGTTCACCATGGATATTTACCATCCTTAACAACTTTGCCTTCCCACTAGCGAAAGTCTAAGAGGGTCAATCATAAAATTGGGGTTCCTCACCTCTCTGGTTATCGGTCTTATTGATAGGGCTTAAAAATCATAAATTCGACAAGAAAACAAATACATATATTTACACAGTGACCTTATGTGATACCTCAAGCTTTTGCTTATTGTGATTTCTAGCTTTTCCAACTTGTTGCGACTATGGGAAATTACCCAGTTACTTTTCTAAGTTTCCGTAGAAATATCCCTCCACGATGTTACTATTTAGGAAATGTCGGTTGTTTATTAACTCCCAACGGCGCTCAAGCATATATCTACCACCAACCTGTATCCCAACTTTTTTATGTAACTAGCCATTCACTAGATACGTCAGAAAATACAATCAGGGTTAATGAATAAAGCTCATGAAATAGTCTTCATGGCCACTAGAAGTGCCGTATGTATTTACTTGAAAGTATTGACACCTGAACTTCATATTAGATCGAACAGTAAAAACCAGTGGTTAGAGCCTAAGTCCCTCACTATGTATATGAAGTTTTTGAAACTCAAGTGTGGTTACTCTCGTAGCATCGTTTGATCAGTACGGTGAACTTCCATAACTTAATCTTAACATATCTTTGAATATGACTGAAACTTATGTTTCTGTAGTTAGATCGAAAAGTTGAGTTAACACTCCAAGTCTGTATCCCACTTACCATCGTCTTGTCCAATAAAACAGGACTGTAAAGATCTAGGACCTGTAGTTTCTGCCCATCCTCGTTCATTATAGTCCAGACCCAATAAAATATTAATTCTACCGAAAGCTACCAAATATCTTTCCAAAACCCAACCACTCGGATTTAATAATTATAGCTGGTGACTTAAGCATATAGAAGGAACTTAATTGAACCCTTATTCAGAGATGCTTTTGAAATATAAAATCAACAAACAAATAACCCCAACCGTTTTAACATTTATACCCTGAAAACCATTTGTTGCTGGAACGTATCAACTGTAGACATAAGGAGGTAAGTTGACTTATCAACCGTATAAGAAAACCAATAGGGAATCCCCACCTGTTCTTACCCCAAAATTAATCTGATGTAAGAGTACTTCCGCACCTTGACTCAGCGTATAGAGGATTGCAAGAATTCGAGCTCACTCTGAAAATAGATTTGTCGAGAGTTTATTACAGAAAAATAGATTAGCATTTCATAACGTGTAAAGTTTGTTTTAAGTTATCCTATTATGATCTAAACACAGTAAGACTATTCAAAATGTTTTTAACATTCAAAGTACAAATCATTACTGCAGGAATAATCAGCATCAATACATAGTGTGGTAACGATAACCAGCTGGACAAATTGATCGTCCTATCAAGTTTATCAGCTTTGGTCGGTTAGTGACTACAGAAATACTGCAATTTTTGATCATCGTAAAATTAAGCCACGTATTGAGCGTGCACGTCACCCGATTGTCTATTAAAGAAGTTCATACGGTGATATACTATGTATGACTTACAACGACAATACAGCCGCTAAGAGCTAAACGCATGTTTATGCTGCAAATATTCGATCATAGTTGTCATCGGAGCATTTTTCAAATATAGTGGAACCTTCAAGTTAGTGATGGAAGTTTCTGGCTCGAAACACTAAATAAACTTAAATCATCTGCAGCGACTGTGACGTGTATTACAAATTCGTAGTGATTTGTGGGCGACAGTGATAGTGATTGGTTGTTTGCTTAGTCAGACTTATTGATAGTCTGACAGGCATTAGGTGAGTCATATATTCTCCTATCCTTATTATTATTGATTGTTGTCCGTTTTCGGTGTGAAAGTATATGTTCTAGTCAGGCTAACCACTTGATCTGAGCTGTGTTAAAGTCCTGTAGAAGAGACATTGGGAGGGAATCTGTATAGATATTTGTCTAAAGCAAATTAACGTCCCATTCGTGTAAACAAGGGGAACCGAGCGTTATAATACGTAGTCACCATGTTGGTATTTATGCCATTTTGTCTGGTGTCTGAGCTAATTGAAAAGTTCAAGAGAAGCCGGACTGAAATATGGCTCTACTACTAGTTGACCATTTGGCTGGTATTTCTCGTCCACTATCTGCAAGCTCATTTAAAATGATTTGGTAACCGAATCGGTCCTCCAACTTACGGCGCTACATTCTGTCCTAATGTATGACTAAGATAGTCATTTAAGTTAGAACACATGTTAATACTGTAAATATTTTGTTAATGATAATTTCGAAGCAATTTTTGCATGTTGTGGAACTCTCAACTTCCACTTTTAAGTGGAGTCAAGGCTGTAGACTTATATGCTTGGCTGTGACGTGTTTTACACACGCTTATACTAACGTAGCTACGGTCGTTTGAAGAAGTTCAATAATCACCACCACAAAAGCAAAAGACCAACTGTTGATTTGAGTTGTTGACTTTCTGGTGTGTTATTTCAACAAGTAGTTGCCTCGGAGATATTAGAAGGTCTGGAATCAACTAAATGTTATTAGCATGAAGACATCTCATTTCTACAAAGTTATTATCAATAGTTTTGGGTATTCTTTAGCGCCATAACATTTGAGCCTGAATTATTGTGATGATTGACAGACTTGTTTATTAAACCACTTTTCTTATTGAGATCATGAACCGATCAATGTTAGATCATCACTGAGTATCTAGAAGCACCGGACGGTCGTTTCATCCCAGTATGAAACCTCAGCAGTGCGCACCCACGATCCCGCGAGCTGGACTCGCACCCTGAAACTTGAGTCTCGCGCGAACGCCTAACCTCTAAACCACTGAATCGGCATCTAGCGGTGTACAGGATCATAGGCGCGCACTGCTGAGGGGTTCTATACTAGGACGAAACGACCGTTCAATGGTGGTCTAACACAGATCGGTTCAGGATCTTATTAAAAACCCAACAACCCTAAACCGGAAACCATTTTTTTCATTTGCCTAACCCTTAGGAAATTACGGTATTCCTGCTTCAAAATTAAAATGACCTTGGAGTCTGAGAATAGTCTTCTGAAATTGCTTATAAACATACAATGGAGACTCAGCATAAATGGCTAGTATAAACCAAACAGAAATTACAGAGTAAAAATAATTCACCAGCACTTGCAAAAATGTAAACAGAAAAGAAACAAATTTAAAAATGTAAGTAATACGGTCATCAATATCTAAGGAGAGATAAAACATTGTTGTGCCTTCTCTCCTTTAATCGATCTTAGTCATTATCAAATATCTCCAACCAAAAACTACAATTATCCTGTGGAATCCCAAAGTAAGAGTTTAAAATTAAACAAACATGTCTTACAGTCAGAGTAACACAAGAGAATACCGTATACTACACTCGCTTTCTGATAGATAGTAAGATATATCATCTCAACAATAGAAGTAGAAAGTTTCCTTAGAGTAAACGAGTGTGTTGAACATATTTGAATTCTGCCATCCTGCTAGGATTGGCACGACTCATCAAATAGTTTGACTACACACGACCAGATTACTGTTTTTAAACTAAACTCGAAAGGTAATACAACCAAGTGACACAAATAATTGTCATAGATCGTATTTCAGATACCGATACGCTAGTTTATATTCTTTGTGTACATAGCGGCGTTTCAATAACACTGTAATATCTAGTAATCTGCTGGGACTAATTTTAGCATGGGATTTTCAAAATCTGATTTCCTGAAATTATTTATAAACCACGTATCTGAAGAAATTAAAAGTGAATTCTGGTTTATGTCAGGTGTCAGCTTTCAATAGCATTTTGAAGGTGCAGTCAGCTGTTCAATTCGATTGACATTTGACATGGTTATCAAACTAGACATTCTGGTGTTCATACGCTTACTAAGTACCACACATTTTGGAATACTGTTATCAAAGTGAGCTGTTTACATTTGTACGATTACAATTTTTCATATGTTGAACAAAACACAAGTGATATCAATGTAGTGCATGTCTTTTTTATGATTCTGTAGAATAAACTGGCTACAATTTCACTGGTATTTTTACTATAAAATTTAAACACTAAGTAAAAACTCGAAAGCCATTTCTTAAAAGATAAGAAATCTGATTACCAACTCTATAAAAGTGCAAATTCATTGCATTAAAATTGGAACGATATGAAAATAGATCAATATCCTAAGTACGTATGATTCCGATCAATTTTATTTTTTAACAATAATGATGTGACTATTTGAAGCGTGATGTAAAGATTTTCTGCAGACTGGTAATAGAAACTTGAATTACTTAAAATGACATAAACATCTTTGGGTTCCTCTTGATAAAATTAAATACAAATTCATCATTAAAAACACACCAATGCTTTGCAAAAGATATATATGACATAAAACGAACATAAAAAGGCTTTATAAGGAATACTTTAAAAACAGGCCATTCAGTTCACTCTTTAGAGGTTTGTCATTGGCACAGAACCTATCCACCTTTGGTGGGATTACATTCAAGAATGATGTGGAAAAAAATCTGCAAAATAGGGGAAGGTAAGAAATATTTCGACAAGTTAGGAATGTGATCCAATAGTCCTAACTCTTAATCTGGTTGTCATATTACGGTAATACAGTGAGGTTGTTAAACTCAATGACTCGATATTATGGTGTACCATTGGAAATAGAAATAAGACGGAAATCTGAATACGGCTTCCGATTTTCTTCCTGATGTTCAGTAGAGCTTGTCGACAACATACAGAACAGAGTTCTCCCATCAGTTTGCAATTATCAATAAGCTATCTGTATAATCTTTGATATATATATACCCGACCGTTATCTGATCCTATTATGTATTTGGTTGGAAGCGGTTAAACTGTACAATGATCACACAATATAAAGAAAGTACACCGAAATATATTGCCAATTCTGACCAAAAATAAGTAATAATACATATAGGAAACGTTCTCATCTTCCAACTACGTCATACCATAGATGTAAAACATAGGAATATGGTAACGTTGCTACCATAACGATGTTTATAACCATTGACCCGAATAATTTACGAGGACTGATATACGGTTCATACTGCATTTTAACAAAGTGACCGGCACAAAATGTTGCCGGAATACTAGATGTGGAGCCACCTACTCTTAGACAAAATAACCATTCCTGAGAATATACCCGAACTGAGTATTGTTTAGAAGTATGGTAGTGAAAAGGTTTAAAGCAAACGTCAACAGTAAATATTCCATAAGGACATCAAATTTTAAATGATTTGTATCGTTATTGTGGTGTCATCACAATTCAAGAATCGTGGTTAGACGATTTACAGGACGATTGCTGAGTACCACTGCATGATTTCAAAATTTATCGTCAGTACCGATCAAACAATAAAAAGGTCTGGCGGCGGTGAAGCTACGTTTGCAAACGTGAACTGGTGTCGATCTACCTTTGCGTGTTTCAAGTTTTCAAATGACTTTATGAACTGTCTAACTTTAAGATGCCGTCCAAAACATTTGAATTAATACAAATATGTTTGTGTTACCAACATTTACGTGACTCCAGACTGCACATCATCTGCACTGTCTGAGTTCTATGTTATTGCCCTCAATGATTCACTTTCAGTTGTATGTGGTGATTTCAATCCATGTGACTGTAGCTTCCTTACGTCACTAGGTCACCAGAATGTGGTAGATTTTCCTACTCGTTCGGATGCTCATTTAGACTTTATTTTCATTAATGATGTGGGTATATATGTGATTCGTAAACGTGCTCCATTGTCTAGCTCGGATCACTGTATAATTCGTGTTCTACCTAAAGTATATGGAAAACATGGAACGAGTACACTCTTACATCAAGCCAAGAAAGTCAAATATAGGGAATACTCAGAAAATATCCGAAATCTGAAAAACATGTTTCGTACGACTAACTGGAAATCACTGGAAAACACTACTGATATTGTCACTTGTTACCTTAACTTCTGCCTTGATATTTGTTGTCCCACTGAAACCATTTTTGTAAGTTTTGATCGACTTAAATCTTCACAATTAAAACGACTACGGAGGGTGAGAGAAAGAATCTACAAGGAGAAAAACTATATTGAAGTTCGTAAGCTTTCATCGTAGACTTTCATCTTCACAGTTAAAACGACTACGTAGGGTAAGAGAATGTGCAAGGAGAAAAACTCGTAAGCTAAATGGTCTAATAAAGCTAGAGGTTATACGTCTCAACTCTATGTTTACTCAAAAACTCCCCAAGTATGTGGAAACTCTTAAAAAAACTTACAGTTGACAGGCACATTAGAAGCGATAATCAGCTGAATGTTTGTGACCTAAATAAGTTTTTTGTACGTCTCATCGGATGTAATGCTCCCTATATCCACAGGTTTGAAGAATAGTTGTGTTCCTAGTTTCACTGAAACTGATGTCTCCAGTCACTGAATTCATCCCAATGTTTATGACCTGATGGTATCCCAAACCTCTTTTATAAAAAAAATATGCTGACGTTCTATGTTATCCATTCACGAGTATCTTTAACAGATCCTTCTCAACTAATCTCATACCGAAAATGTGGAGAAAGACGAAGATAATCCCTATACCTAAGAAAGTATCTGGTGATAAAAATGTGAAATTTAGACCCATAGCAATAACTTCACCTTTCCCCAAAACAATGGAAAAATTATTGATACTTCCACTTCAACCTGCGATAAAAGAGCACATTGAACCATATCAGTTTGCTTACAGATGCAAAAGAAGTACCTTAGATGCCGCTGCTGTTCTGCATCACAATATAGTATTCAGTTTTGAAGAGGGTAAGAAGTATGTTCGATGCTCTCTTCTGGACTATACTTGTGCTTTTGATTCTATACCAATACAACGTTTACTTAACAGGTTAATCAGTATCAACACTGACAGCTGGATAACAAATTGGCTGTGTTTCTCTCTCTCTGGAAGGGACCAGTTCACTGTGTTTGGCGGAAAGTGTTCAAAGTCTCTAGTGTCCCATAAAAGTGTACCACAAGGAGCCATTCTTTCACCTCTTTTCTCTATTTTTCTGCATGATCTTCCATCTTCTACACAAAACACTTCTGCGAAATATGAGGATGATCTCACTGTATGTATGCCGATTTCTACCTCTTTACATCCCATTGAATTGAATGAGTTTTTGTCTCGTATTGATTATTGGTCTGTTGTTAATGGTCTCAACCTTAATCTGTCTAAATGTCAGGCTGTTAACTTTAGCATAAGACATGAACGGCATCTAAACAGCACTTTGGGATCACATAATGCTCGTGCCATTGGAGACTCTGATAAACACAGTGTCGAAGGTCAGTTATCTTGGTGTTACTTTTTCCTTTGATCTCCCTCGGTCTTATGTTTTACTGTTATCGAAGAAAGTTTTCCGTCTGACCTACTACATAAAGAGACTACATGCTTTTGGGATTACTCGTCATTTACTCTTACAATTTGTCAACTGCATATTGCGTATTATTTTTTACTGTTCTCCATTATTCTTTACCGGGCTTTTAAGAAAAGACTTTGCTGTATTGCGGAGAGTGCTCAAGGCAGTTATCAAGGTGTGTGGTAAATCTTTCGAGGTCATAATTAATATGGTTGTGGATAGAAATCCAGAGTCATGCAAACTCCTGGCAGGTGTTATCTTATCCGTTACTAACCATCCTCTTCACTCATATCTTTCTCCTTGTATATCTTCTGGTAGAACGAGACGTAATTACATTGAAATCCATGCACTCAAGCAAAAGTATGAAATTTCTATAACACCTTACCTAGCAAATATACTCTGTGACGAACAGGTTGCTAGAGTTAACCTAGTCAATAATCTGTATTCTTAAACATGTCTCTAATTTGGAAAGTTGTACAGTTTTAGATTTTTTCACCTTTCGCCTTTCTTCTTTTGTTGTCTATTTTTGTAGAATAAACATGTTGAAATACTTTGTTCTGAGAATTCTATATTGTACCAAAATATAATATTGAATAAAGCCATTAATAATAATAATACTAGTCGGTTACCCAAACGGAAATAGGTGAAATAAAGTTTGAAACTGTGACTCAACGGTTTATAGTCAATTGTGGTAACTATCACGGCAGTGCTCCATCAAGAGAATTAGTGAATTATCAAGGTAGTGCAGTAAAGCTCCATCAATTGAAGTATGTAATTAGACCAGAACTTTGTTTCAGAATGTCAGTATATAACAGGTACTTAGCTTACTATGCGCTCGCAATCAAATGACTCTCAAGATTGATAGTTAATATTTATAACTGCTTTCTTTATGTACGAAGCAAAGTGTTTCATAACAAACCAGTGCACAGGAATTGAGATCTACCACTAGAGATGTGAGCTGTTTGACTGTAACAACCCAGAATTTATTACGCTTAAATTCATATCATCTTTCCGAATTTGTAGTTCAATTACACACATTTTTTTAGGTTCGAAAAAATGTGTGCCTAAAGGATTTCAGAAAAATCGACAAAGAATGTGATTATCAGAACTTTGTATTTCATTAAGTAATGTACAAGTGAATTTTGTATTCACAGCTATCTTGTGTGCACTTACAGGAAGGGTACTTTCGAGTTAGTTCGAATGATAACTAAACTAGATATTTCTGCAGGCTATAAAAATACATAACATTGAGTTAAGTGGGTTAAATAGGAGTGTAATACTCAAGACACTTCATTCTTTTTCGGAAATGTTGGATCATTTAAATGGAGTTTTTTCGGCGGATCAGGAGTCCTGAAACGCATCCATGCAACTAGAGCACGATCCCAAAATGCGCCGAATGAATCTAATGCAGGTCGTACATCCAGAATAGCGAACTGATATGCTTCATTCACAGAACCTCCATCATAATAATCAATTACGTAACGTACTTCTTTACCGCATCGATCGATCACCCAATCATGACGATCGAAAGGCAACTCATAACTGAAAAAGTAGATAAAAAACTTATTTATGTTTTAGTTTTCCCTACATATAGCTATCAGAACAATTTTAAGAAAAATAATAATAAAAATCCAAGCTAAAGGTCACTAACAACAAACTCCATTCATTGTTTCACCTTGCGTACGTAGTTCAAACTATTCTTACTGCATAGGTACAATTATCTTGCTGAATTAGATTCACAATAAAAAAAGAGATGCTGATTGTTACCTTAGTAATTCACAGTGTACGCATCGTACAAAAAATCTCTCGAATTCTGTCAATTGACATTTATAATATTTGTGTCCATTCACTAAACATCTGGCATGTAGTAAAAAGATGATACAAGTGTAAATTGAAAACAATCTCAAAAAAATCAGAGATTACATTGACTTGTGTAGTGATTGACTGCCGCATGAAACACTATAATAAATTCAAATCAGTCAGCAACAACGTAAAACTTAGTACGTACATACACCAGTTGAAGTTGCCATACCACATTAACACAGAGATACAATTGTCGATTCAAATCTCGTAGTGGTAGAGGTTGTAAAAGTATAAGCAGTAATAGGAAAGATCAGGGTTTGAAGATGAAATAAATTCAAACTCTTATAAGAGCTTACATGATACCATAAGTCAGCTCTTTTGCAAAACAGGATCAGCTACTGGAGAACAATCATAGTGTCGTAAAACAGAGACAGAAGTCGAACCCAGAATATAAAATTATTATTTAGTTAATATTATTTAATTTAATCAGCTCACTCACCAGGCACTTGGGTATGAGCCACACTCTAAGTGAAGGGTATATGTTACAACCCAGCTGACTCAATTGGAGTAGGCTTCGGACCTGGTTTAGAGTCGGAGGTATTAACCACTAAGCCAGCTCGACTGGTTAAAAACAGTGATACTGTTTCATATAATGATATCGAGGTTAAAAGACAACGGTAAACTTCTTTATTCAAAGATATATAGCAAAATTAATGTCGAAAATAACTACCATTAGAACAAAGCTAACTAAAGAATTTATCCAAATTTTTGGCATGAAGACCAAGAATAAAACCTAAAAGTCAAGTTTTAATTTCATTAGCATGAGAATGACCTATGAAACTAGTATTTTTGAATAACCTACATGTCAAATGACCCTTTTGTTATGTTCACCTTTGCTTCAGAATACTTTGTGCATCACCATGCTATTTGATGATCATAATAAAAACTTAGTCTCATGGAGTTTGTGTTGTCCTTTGATAAAGTTTATCGTTTTCGGAAATCGTACATTGATAAGTTGAGTATCGTAAGGAGTTATCAGTATTTTACTGTCCCCATTTTAACAGCCCAAAAGTAACTCACCACCAAAAACCCTTATCATAATAATTGTAACCAAAAAAAGACTTAATATGGTAGAGATTTGTGTGCTTAGTATTAACCTATAAATGTGAGGGGTAATGATACTGTCCAGTTGCCTAAACCAAAGTAGATAGGAACAGGTATGAATATGAAACTTAGTGGTGAGACCTTGAACTCCTTTACCTCCAAGCCAACGACCCTAGCCAAACCATGACTTCATTCGAAAACCAATTATCAGTTGCTTTTTGGACTTACTAGCTTTTAGGTTGATGCAAAACTATCTCTGAATGTATAAATATTTAAAAACTTTACTAATTTTTATCTTTCGTTCATTTACCAGGTGTACACAGTGAACTTCATATCTTGAGCAGTAAATACTGGTTATGAAAATGACCTACAGTTGTTCACAAAAACAGTACATACCCCATGGCCCGACGAATACGTGCTCTTGGAGAATAGTTTTTTGCATCCCCAGCAAAACGACGCAATTTCGGTGTCATACATTCACTGGAACAAAATAAACCAAAGAGAATATAAAATATTAACAAAGCTGGGTTTTGGCTAGCAATGAAAACCGAGGAGTGAGTTTCGTCCTACATCCGAGTGTTTGTGTTCACACAGTTAAAGCTAGTACCTATTGCTTCAAACGCCGAGTCTCAAACAGGACGAAATGTGTGTTCTGTTTTCCATTGCTAGCTACAATTCCACTTGACTGAATGGCACATATGCAAACATAGACTAATTAAATGTTAGCCTTAATATCAACAAAGCGAAGATTTAAACTCTTACAAATAACCAATTAATTTTAAGATATGTTCATATGTGAACAAGCAAGATTAAATTAGTGGGTTGAACATTTAGTCTCGACGTTTACCTACAAATACAAAATTGACGATATTAAGATAAAAGAAAAATAACAAATCATAGTATGAGAATGATGATTACCACTGAAAGTCATAGTATTAGAAATTCCACATATTTACGCTGGATGAATCTGACTGAACATATTGAAGAGCACTAAAATGGGATAATGCCCTTAATAATATTACGGCAGTTTTATTGTAATGATCGAAGACTTGGATAGGGTAAAGCGACTTAGCGTATATGCGAAATCGCACATTGCATTTGCATATCTTCCTTGGATTGTCGCTTACAAGCTCCATCGTCCTTTTATTCTCATTACTACCTAGACTGTTTTTGTTTTCCTTTTTCTTCTTATTCCCCTCTTCTGTCCATAGTAATTCTAATTTCAACTCCTGATAAATATTACTTACATTTGTCTACATGAGCAGCACACACTACACTATAAAATAAAACTTACTTTCCAAATAGCCTAGGAGTTTGTATCAAAATGTCCGCCATGGGGACTAATATGGTGCCAAAAATAAAATAAATTCAAATTGGTAAGGGGTTGCATGATAACTTTAAGCTGAAGACAAAAAGCCTATCCTTCGTATATAACCCAGGTGTTATAGAACTGATTTATACGCGTAATTTACTTGATGCAAGAAATATAATAATTAACTATAAATTAGGCAGAGATTTTTAACACGATAAACTGACAATTTATTCACAAGTTCTACCTTCACTTTATCCCAACCGTAGCTGCTACCTTGACGTGGTGATCGGGCTTGCTTATCGTGATGACCCAACCGAGCTATATTGGCTGGAACATATGTTCCTATAGGTTTTACCATGCCAGGCAGGTCGATTGGAGAACGATAAGGCTACAAGCAGCAACTCAAGGTCTGAGGGAGAAGTCGTACTGCTGACTATAGAGGGGTGTGACAGCAGTAAGGTGTTTTCCTCAGACAACCAGCATCTGCAGCGATGCTGCCTTCTCACAAGGAAGGAAAGGGTTAGAAAAGGTCCACCCTAAAAATGTCACACCTCGCCTCACGAATTTCAGTCTTCGGTGGTAAATCCTTTTGAAGAACGGAGCTAATACGTTAAAAACTCCCAACAAAAAGGCTGTGCGAGACCGGCCTCAAGCAGTTGTTTCTTGGGCTCTGCGGTCACGCTCCCAGGTCGTTACAACCAACACTAGTCCAACTTCTTTTACAGGTTCCTCAAGAAATACCCTTCCACGGTGTGGGCAGCCGCGAAGCGATATCAGCCCTCATGCCCGTAACAGCACACGAGACCAAGTTGGTCACAATCAAATCCTCCCCATACCTCCTAAAAACTCTCTTATCTCAACGACCAATTCTTCTCAGATCCCTTTATCACCTCACACACACGCTCTAAACTATGTGTAGGAGCTTTTAACGTCCGAACACTGTGACAAATAAGACAACAAGCTTCCTTAGCTATGACTTTAGAATCTCACGCCATCGATGTGTGCTGCGTTTCCGAAACGCGCATACGGAATCCGGGTAGCGTCATTCATTTGACCTCATCATGTTAAAATAAATAACCAACTCTACTCACACTTCGTGTATCTGGAAGCCCAAGTGCTGCTTCTCGTGGACTCGCCGGCATAGGCATAGCATTGAGTCCTAGAACAGAACTAGCTCTCTTAAACTAGATCCCAGTGGACAGTCGTTTGTGAGCTGTCTGACTAAACGAAACAGTAAGGACTCGGAAAGATAGCGACACTCGTCGTTGCCTCTTCGTCGTCTCTGCCTACTCTCCCACTGACTACAGCTCAGATGATCAGTCAGTCAGTAACAACGTAGAACTCAGATGATGTAAAAGATGAGTTTTACAGAAAGCATTCCGACCTCCGAAAAGCTAGGTGCTATGTTGTAATAATGGCTGATGACTTTGATGTTCAAGTAGGTAAACTAAACGAGAGGGAAAGACACCTGGGTGGATCTTATGGTGTCGTGGCTCAAAGAACAGATAATGGCGACCGTCTGTTGCAGCTATGCTCAGATAACCACCTGTTTCTTGCAAATTCTATATTTAAACATAAGGAACAACATCTTTTGACATAGCGAACACCGAATCCGTCTCAACGTTGGACGCAAATAGACCACATCGCTATCACTCACCGATGGAGGGGCTTGGATTCAGATCATGCTCTAGTGCAAGCGCGTATTTGTCTGCGTCTTACTGAACGTAGGAAAGACACTGCAAGGAAACCTCTTATGGTCCTACCCAATGATAGCCAAGCTAAGAATATATAGAAAAAGTTAGGCGGCCGTGTAAGTGATGCCCATTTCGAGGCAGCGTGGAATGATATCCGGAAAGCTGTGGAAACAAGTGATATCTGCTAGTAAGGTAAACCATAAGGTCAGGGGGAGGTATTGAATCTCAGCAGCATCTACCGCACTGATAGACGCTCGAAAAATCATCAAATTCGGATCTGAATATGACGAAGAGCGGAGTCAGCTTAAGCGCAGGCTGATAAGAAGTCGACGCAATGATCGCCCCCAAATGCCCTGACACGCCTAAGACTGAGAAGAGTCAGCTCTCCCTCTCGAAATGCTCTCACATGATCAAGCTCACGTTATAACTTGTGGCCTGTGTGCCCTGTTAATGTATAACGTAACGATACCGCCAATTAGAGAGCAGTGAATTATCGATCGGGCCAATGACGCGTAAACCCGTACGAACAGTCTAGAGTCCTTGTCGCTCGTTCTTCCTAGCTCAGCCAGTTGAGTCCAGAACACCAATCTCAGCCTCTGATATATGAATCATTTATTTCAAACATACTAAGTTTATATACCAACCAGACAGACCACATTGTACCATAAAACAGGAAACAACATTTGTACAAGAATTAGCCTAATGTGGCTCTGAATGTGGGAGGTAGTAATGAAGACAGAGCATAATTCAAGAATGGTGAATTGTAGAATAATAGTTCATAGATCAAAATAAAGCTCATAATAAGAGGGACATGAATATGTATAGTTTAGTTATTTAACAATTATACGATAAAAATATACACATAGTATTGGTCCATAAATAGATCCCAAAAGTTACCATTCATTATGCTTATCGGGACATAACAGTATACAGCCACAGTCCTACTCAGCGCCTTCTCACAGTGGGGGTGTTGTTCACGAAATTGATAGGGCGGAAAGAGAATAGACGGTACTTTAACTGGGTTGGTGGGTATGACAGATTGACCTACAGGAGTTGGAAAACCCTGATCGCAAATCAATGGTGTAAACGGACTCCATAATCCTGAGAAACAAATGGCATATGAACCTATTGTTGGTCACCGGCTACCATGGGACTGAGTCTCCTAAAGTTGCTCCACTGCCTTGTGGGTTAGACCTCCAGGTCAAAAGCTCGAGATGTGGCCCCCTAGGAAAACGGTCTGCTTCAGTTTGGGCACCCAGGCAATATTCCAGCCCTCACACGAATAAATGATAGCTACTACTGGCCTCATTGCCATTGTGTGGCGCACCCGTAATTTGGTGCCTCTTTGTACCAATGTTTATGTGTTCAGATAATAAAGAAGACAGATATGTTTACTTTATTTTCCCCTAGATACTGAGTCTCAAAGTTATTTTAAACCTTATGATTCAGTGGATTTATTCATTATTCTCAAGTTATATTGTTTACTCCTAATCTTTTCTAATAACATTGACACTTTTATCACTTCTACTATTCTAGCATCCGTTTTTATAACTTCCTCTCGTTGTAATGATATGGTGTGGCAACAGATGTACACATGACATGTTCTACGCTGTTCTTGGCTGGGTGACAGATTTAAAACACTTTCAGCTAGTATTAATTACAGTATTTTATTGAAGTATTTTTTAAATCCTTAAATTCACAATCATTAGCAAACTTAATGAATTATTTGATTCCCATTATAACTACTAACTCCTGAATTGTGAAGACCGATATGATTGACTGTTATAAAATTCAGTAAGCAATTAGAAATAGACAATTACCGTATTCATTATTATACTTAGTGATCAGTGTGAATATCTATGGATTATACTTATAAACTCAAACACAGGTTAGTTGATTAGCACATAAATTAGTATGTGCAAAAAAAGTAAATAAGTTTCATTAAACAAAAACTTGTAATTTGAAGGAAAATTTAGTGTATAATTAGGAATCATCTTAACCGTAATTTTCATACTTAATTTACATAACTACACGATAAATTCGCCAAGTCTTCCATAAAGTAAAACCAAGTTGGGTTGCCTGAGTTCATTACGATCTCATTGTTGACAATATAGATTAGGAAAACACAACCGAACAATACATCTGTAAACGACAGCAATAAATAATCCTTCGTCAACAAATAAGTGAATCTGGAAAATACATCTAGATTATTTTTAATGACCACGTTTAGCTGTCAAGAAGTGGTTGAACAAAAAGAGACAGAGTCGACACCAACTTAAAAATAAAAAATTTATCACATGGGCTGTTATGAATTTAAACAACGATTTATCTACCAAAATCTAAACAATCCGGTAGAATTAATAACCATTATTCAATAGACATAATTCACAACTTAGAATATGGAATACCTGCACCGAATTGGTGAAGTATGTTATTTGTGTTATTCATTTATAGTACAAATACATTCACATGGATTCGAAATACTGACTTTCAAACATTAGAAAGGGTTCATCGTGAAAAGTTCTAAACGTGTTTATAGAATAACAGAAGCTCGTATCCGAAATTAATGACCAGAAGTTAGTGGGGTCTAGAAAAAATACGCATCGACCTAAATTATTACATCTCTCTTCAGTTAGCAATCGACGTGATGAAAAGCAAAGAAAGTGCAGTAATATTATAGATAATGTTAAATAACTAAATGTAAGAAATAGAGCTCAGTTATTATAAAAAGCTTAATATACTGAATTCCATCACTACTAATAGAAAAATGAACCCAGTTTTTACTTCAAGAGAATTCACACTTACTTAGCATGTAGAGCTTCCCATTTTAAAACCTCACGCCAAGCTAATTCATTATTTATATTATGTATGCGTATGATGTTGTTCATATCTTCAGGTTTGATATCATCATCTCGCCAACGCCAACCTTTACGAAGCATAGCGTTCCAAAACATTTGAGGTGAAGGATATATCCATTTTTCACCACCAGACTGATCTGCTTTTGGAATGGAAGACAATTCGCGTTCAGTGGACAGTGGGAAAGGTTGTCCAGGACTTGGGAGTTGGTTAGGGGGTGGCATCTAAAATACAGCCAGTTGGTTTAGAAAGAATAATAAAATATTTAAACCCATTGATAATGATCATTAATGAAGATTATCTAACAACAAGTGGAACTGTTGTCTTAAAAGTAGAAGTTCTAAAGACAGGTTTTTAACTATGAAATATCTTAACCTACAGCATACAACAGCAGTTTGCTAACAAATACCCAAATTTATAACACACAACTCATAATACAAAATTTGTGTGACTGTTGTTCGTCGTAAAGCATAAGTTCGCTTATCAAACCAAGGTTTTTTATGATTAATATAAACGATCAATGCGCTCCCTTGGTTTAAGTGTTTTACACACTAACTTAAGAAACGTCTAGCATTTGTGACTTAGTCAATTTCATTGTTGTCTTATATAGTAGCTTCCTCAAGTGTTTGATGGGAAGGCTAATTTATGAACTAAATTAGGCGATACAATACAATCTAGATTTGAGTTCAACAAAGTCAAAAGTATTTCTTGTTGTGTCTTTTATGTTCTCACTTGAGGTAACCAAAATTGAAAACAACTACTTAGCTAACTTGTGAGTTATTCAAGGTCCCCAAACGCACTAGCACGACCGAGAGTGGGAAGAGTCAGCTCTCCCTCTCGAAATGTTCTCACATGGCCATGTGCTTACAACTACTCGCTGCCTTCTCGTGGCAGGGGTGTTGCTTACGAAATTGAGAGGACGAAAAGCGAATGTTCGACGCTTTAGCCGGGTCAGTGGATGTGGAGGAGCCACCTAGGGGACTTGGAAAACCCTGATTCCAAACCAATGGTGTACATGGGCTCTAGGATCCTGAGGGAAAAAATGGCGTGAAGCAACGTTAGGAGATCCAGTTCTATGGTAGCCAGTGGTCAACAATAGGTTCATGCGCCATTTGTTTCCTCAGGATCCTAGAACCCGTGTACATCACTGGTTCGGAATCAGGGTTTTCCAACCCCTACAGGTGAATCCTCCTCACCCATCAACCCAGTTTTAGACCCGGGCGTTCGCTTTTCATTCTCTTGATTTTGTAAATAAGATCCCCACCGCGAGAAGGAAGTAAAACTTTCCTGGCAGTGGCTGTACATGTGTGGACATATGAGAGCATTGAATGACAGAGAAGTCTACCAACATACATTATGTACCTACACTTTGAAGCAACTTGAAACATCCGCGAACAGTCTAAAAATGAAATAGGTGAAGGAAAATTAAGAAGAGATGGTATTTCATTAGTGAAAAGTATGGTTTAGTGTTATACGTACGACCACGTAAGAGGTCAATAAGTCCACTGTTTAACCTCTTTATTATAGAATGCATAGTCTACTTCACTCAAAATATCTTCCAGTAACCGTGTGAAACATTATCATGGAAGTCGCATACGCCAACTTTAGATATTGGGAAATTTTCCAGCAGTGATAGTCTTTCATAAGATCCTCCCCTCTACTGCAGCAAAATAGGCTAAGTTTATAACAGGAAATAAAAAAGATAAGTTAGGCATAATGCCACATAAAATAATAGCGAATGTACCCGTAAAGGACAAAGATTACTATAGAAACTGAACACTTCAAGTTGTTGCTCTTCATGGATCTGACGCTTTCGGAGCCGAACTTGGAAGCATCACCATGATTTGGTTTAAGGGTTTTTGGAGTAATAGTAACCGAACCATGAAGACTGATGATAATGTTATTCTATCAGCCGACCCAGTGACTCAACACAGGTAGTTCCAAACAAACTTATTCCCAGAACCTATAGTGGACAGTGAACAACATTTATAATCTTGCCTGCAAAAAGAGGCTGACTTAACAGGCAGAACCCCAGCAAAAGTTATTCCAACGAATAAAAACTTGTCCTTTGCAGGCGCTCGGTATAAAAATAAGATTCATGAAATACTAAAGACATGGGGAATATGAAACTCACAAGATTGTCTGGACTGAGGTTCTTGTATCCATGATTCATTGGACATCCATCACTTTTCCCAACAGGACATTCACTTGGCATCTCCTTTTCTTGACCCACTTGCTGACTCCGAGAAGAAATCAAGCCCATTATTTCAGCCTATAGTCGGACGACCATACACAGAAGGAACCTTTAGTGAACAAAACAGCGGACGGAGTATGGATTCACTTAAAAATATGACCTCTGTATATCTATCATTTGCACCAAGTCATCTGGGTTATTGATATAGAAACATGAAGGATAATTTTCATTCAAGATCTGTGAGATCTATGCTTTCGAGCTTAATTTCCATACTGATAAAACGTGCGAGCTTAACCGAAATTGATCAACAAGACATCAGTTTCCGTTACCAAATGACTGTTGGTTAGTCGATGGACACAGGAATTTCATCAAAACGGCTCACAGTATATTTCTACGACGACCCTCATCCCTTAATGTTTCTTCTCAGTTGGCGGTTGAGTACAATATACTCGGCCATTCAAACGTGTTTTTATTCCTACTCACTTAGTTTTAGTAGAGCACATAATTGTGGATCTCGATGTAATTCAGTTGGTTAAAGCTAAGTAAACGCTGAGAACCAAAAGTGTCTTGTGATTGTCTGTTCTACTACTTTTAATGACCAAACAAATGCTTTTTCGGACACTTAAGTGTTGCATGTAACCTTTTAATACACCATTATAATTCCTTAACCATGATAACCCTATAAAAGAATACGGTCGTTTCATTGTATTATGATCGATTTTAGAAACGACTTTCATGTGAATCCAGGTGTTCGCTTAACTAACAAATGTTTTCGTGTTCTGACATTTTTAAGACTACTACCAGGTCTACTCATTCCACGAACTTTGATATGGCCGAGTTTGTTGGTGTGAATATATACAAACATCTTAGACTGTTTGACCTTATTATTTGTCTAAGGAATCTATAACCAATAACAGACCACGGTAGCGCTTACTACGAAATACGCAACTATTTCTGAATCTTTCAATATCTAATACCTTTATAACAAGCTAGGATAAACCGATGAATTTCCTCGTCATCACTTCTTACTGTTTCAATACGGTTCCAGGTATTTGGCAATGTTTGATCTGAGGCAGCCTAGTCACTTGACAACTGATTCTCGTCAGTTTGTGAATTTGCATATCTTGTCAGTCAAATGAGTGCGTTTGTCTCAGGGAAATGTTTCTGGATACCAGAAGCTAACACATTACCAGATAGGATATTGATCGGCGGAAATGTGAGAAACGATAAACAGAAAATGTAAATGCTTTGAGATGATTGTTTCAAGCATAAACAATCTACTTAATTGCTAATTTGTAAGAAGACGGAACTTAAGGAGTAAGATGAGAACAAAAATTATAATGAGGGAGATAGGAAGTAGTTGCTGGTATGCAGTAATAACAACCGTGGTAACTTATAAGATGTACATTAGACACAGCTGATACAAGAGACAGACGGTAATCCCTGAGATTGTATGCGCCGGTCGAGTCTCTTCTTATGGTCACCCACTAAGGGGGCTGTGGTTACTTTGGCTGGAAGTGCATTCCAAATGGCGACAACTCTTAGCGTGAAAATGTGAGAGCGTACCTGTATGTGCGCTCTATGTTGTGCGATCTTTAGAGGGTTGTCTTGAAGAGCGTGGTGATGAGGTTCCGGTATTATCTTCACGTGGGGGTGGTTTGGAGTATTTAATGTGTTGTATGTCATTATTAGTTAACCTCTTATTCTCCTGCAGCTTGGCAAAAATAATCTCAAATGCTAGAGTATGTTTCAGTGAGATTTACTTTGAATCCATTCACCCACTCGGTTGCCCGTCTCTGCACTTTTTCCAGAGGATTTACATGTCTCTTGATGAGAAAGGATGTGATGATATCGCGGACTTCCAGGTGGAGCCGTGCGTACGTTAAAAAGGGAGTGAAGATTAATTCCGGGTTGATTTTGTCAAACTGTCTTCTTAAAGGGTAGAGATTTGTGTTCGCCTTGACTGTATCCCTATGTAGTTTGTGCTGGTGTTTAAGCTCTTCGTGATTATATGCCTGAGACCACGCTTTGAAGAGTCAATCAACAGCGGGTTTCCATGGGGAGCGTTAATCGTTTGGGTCAAATGATTCAGAATGTTCACGACATGACATTTCAACAGGTTATGTTTGAACCCATTGTCTACTGCATATTTCTCTATTGTCTTTAGGTTCTTAAGAGGCTTAGTTACATCCGTTTCGTTTTGCACGAACCTCTTCCATTACCTTAGACATCACTGGAAGTAACGCGACTTTCTCATAACGAACTTGATATTCCTTATATACCTTTCTGAAGATTGGGGAGAATAGCCTATTTCCACTTTTCTTGTCTGTTGTTGTGACTCCAGTGAATGGCTGGACGGGTCACATACCACTATGCTGATGGAACCCATACAGTGTCTCAGAATTACAGGCCCATTGTTGTCACATTCTGGTGACTTTTCTGAGAGCGTGAACTTCAGTTTTCTTAAAAATAAAGCGAGAAATTATCTGCTTATTTCCCAAACCATCAACTGATACTAGAGTTTAGGGGTATTTCGCGTTTTTAGGCTCCTGATGTAACCAGTTGTTGAAGTTGGTATCAAAGAGCGCTGTCACCTCTAAGTAAGTTGATAATCGCAATTTTCCTTCTAAAAGAACAAATCCCTTGGTTGGTATTTTTTTCTCATAGTCATGAAACTGTAGAAATATTTAGGATTAATCTGAATTTTGGTTGCTAGCTTGACCTAAAACTATCTCCTGTCCCTTTGAACTCTAGTGCTGCACCTGTCTCTTAATGACAAATAAGGGCTGTTAAACCGTTTTAGAAAGACTTTCTACTTGTCCCAGGTTCCCCGTTTAGTCTGTAGCAGGCGTTCTGTGTCTTACTTAACTCAAGACCTCCCATTTCCAAGTATATGCTCTCCTTGAAGTACAATGTGTAGAATGGTATTCTGAGTGATGTCCTTCACCTTATCACAGTGACCACCCGTTGATAGCCTCCACCACTTTCGCGACCATGGGGCGTGTTGAAGATTATACCTCATCGTCGTGTAGTTTACCTTTCTATAACCACGGTGGGAAACGTTCTGGACTCTCCGAATCATCTCGTTTTTGATAACATTAGATATTACTATCATGGTATATGGATATCGATGTTTTCATTAGAAGATTATTATCTGTTAGCAAATAATTTAATTTACAGAGTTTTCCATCTTCACTCGATAGTGTGGGACCATTACCGTATTCAACCAATATCGAACTTCTAATAGCCCTGAAAGGCCCCTTAGGAGACTACCATGTAGGGTTTATTTCCTACTTCTAGAAATTCAAGGATGAAATGTTGGCGTCTTCAGCTAGTAGTAATTGGTTATACTTCGGACGTTGTATTTTTGGTATCGCCTGAATAATTTTATCCTTTGGAGTATCAGTATCGGTGAGGTTCAGTATGTCCCTTCAACCAAGTACTTTGTACAGTTTGCATTGCGCCAGCACCAGCATGCTTCCTTTACGTAGGTCAGTCGAATACTTCTCGTTATTACGGCTTTTAAGTAACAGTAAATGTATATGTGCACTTCCACCTCTGTCTTTATGTACCCTGTAGTACTGAAAAGTGTCACTCCGTGCAAGTCCACTTCGTCATCGATAAGAACAGAAAGTAGCCATTTTTCTATCAGGACTATAATCTTCAAATCATACTGAAGGCACATGTTTTTAATTTCTCCCAATTTACTTCTTGATCCTCTCACATTGTTATCAAAACAGCTTGCTGTTTAAACTGAATAGACCAGTTTATCACGAGCTGGTCACTGTAGGTTTTCCGCACGTAAAGCCCATGCTATTTGAGAAACTGTGGTCTCTGTGTTGTATTATGAGTTGATGCTGTTGCTTTATATCTTCAGGTTGGCTCTAACGAAATCTGATGCGACTCCAGAGATTATTATTTGAGCTGTACCAGGTCTGAAGGGCCTCGTTTGGGTCCTCTCTGTTCCCAGGACGTGAATTATAACGGACGAGGTAACCTGGACACTTCAATTATCGTAGTATTGTAAAGGCCTACGCTACATGATGGTCAGCGCCAGTGTTGCATATCACGTCCGTGAGGTTCGTGAAGACCACCACTCACTTGTTCAAGCACTCAGAAGTGTCATGTAGGTTGAGTCCTGGGTGTTTGTTTATAACTTTCTAGTGTCATCTCTTACGGTCCACAGTTTCCTATGTCAAGTTCAAATTTGAGAGGGTCGCTTAACCGACTGTCCCTGAGACGTCAGCCAAATTTAAGTTATCCATAACAGAGAGGCCTTATTTTTCTCTACTTTTTGGCCCTTACATAAGTGGCATAGTTTGAGCGAAGTAGCGCACCTTCCCAGCAGTGTACAAAATTGGTCCTAGTGTTCTTCATAAAAGACTATCCTACATTCTAGTAAGCTACTCTCCGACACTAGAATATTAAACAAAATCAGAGTTTTTCCAATCGTCTATGCCCACGATTTTTTATGTTCTGCAAGTTAATCCGTTTCCATTTCCCTTTTGGACGCTCACCCATCGCTTCTTAATTTTAATGAATTCTGATGTGTCAGCAACAGTCAGTAATCCATTGATTTATGAGCTCAGTTTGAGGCTCTCATAGTTGATCGTTCGGTCTGGCCTGTGTTTGATGACTTGGATATACGGGTGGGGATTGATGCGGTTGTTTCTAATCAGGTCTTATGTTTTTCTTTTATTAGTTCTGTTGGTGTATTTTGTCGACACTGTAGTGACCTAATTTAAAACTTTAGTGTTGCCTAGGTACCGCAATATCACCGAAACAGTGAACCTTTCTGCTACATAAGCTGCATTCAAATGGTGTGTTGCTGGTTTTGACGAGCGACAAGCATGTGATACGATTGTCATCGTGGTTGTCTACTAGCAAAAGAATATGCTGTTTGTGGTTAAATATTCCAGTCTGACAGTGGAAACTAGACACCTACCGCTACTCGTAAGAGATCGGAGAAGTCACACCAGAATCTAAAAGCGCGCTTTATAGCAACTTTATGTACCCTGCGATTTTTATGCATTGGCCTCTGTCCCCTTAATATGGATCCAGGTCTTTGATGGCTATTGATGAGGTTAGTCTTACCATTTGGTCGAACTAGATTCAGTCAGTTCTATAGTGGATTGTCGACTCACGCAATATGAAGTCCTACTGTATGTCTCAGGGCAGTAGTGTTTTTTACTGAAATAATGTGAACAGATGGAAGTATAAGAAAAACAGAGAAATGGAAATGATAGGAAGTGAAATGGAAAGAAATAGGCACATGGTATTTGATGGTAATTGTGGTGTATAAATCGCGAGACATGCGTCAGATATGGCCAGTTCAGTTGAAGATGTTGATCCATGGCTGAGCAAGCAGTCGTTAAATCTTCTTCCCCTCTGTCCACTGTTAGGGCTGTGGTCACTTGTAATACAACGAATATTCAGATGGATGAAACATTTAGTGGGAAAAGAGTGGGACCGTTCCTTAATTTTCACTCCTCGATGTACAACGTTTTTGGAGTCATGTGGTAAAGCGCTTCGGTACGACTTTTGTGTTTGGGTGACTTAACTTTTTTATCACACCAGAAGCCATTTCCAGAGCACTCCTTACTCTACTGTAACACGACAAGAATAATCCCATGCGTCGGAGTCCACGCTCGTTAAACTTGTTCATCGATTTTATCACCGACATTTTTCCCGTCTTGTTACTTGCTTCGAGAGATTTGTGTCTCTTTTGATGGTGGAGCTATGACGACATTGTCAACTCCGAGTAGGTAAGAAAACGAAACATCTGAAGGCTAAGCCATTTGGTGTATAATATTTTAAGTTGGTAGAACATGAACTGCAAAGAACTCACAATAATTCAGGACAGTTTGGGTTTTTCGTAAATGACCATAGTAGAGGTGCTTCCATAGGTTTAGTGAGCCGTCTGTCTACTTAAATATAAATTAAAATGCGA